AATTGTCCACAAGCGCGATAAATCAAACAACACCATTCAATGCTTGCGGCAGCCGACTAATGACAGAGTGGGCCAAGCACTGCTAGTGGCTTGACTTTCAGTGTGGCCAACCTGCAGATTTACGAACAAATCTATTCCTTATGTGAGTAAATTTTACTCACAGTACCCTTCTAGGGTTAAGCACACCGAATGCTTAGGTACATATGTATGTATGTATACACTATACACTCAAGAATGATAGAATACAAGATTGCGCCGATTGCAGCAGAATTCGTGAGAGTAATTTTAGCGTGACGTCATCGTAGAGTTGACAACTAAGAGCGGCGATAATGAGGGCGACTAGTGATGTGCTGAATTGTCCCCAACACTCGGTACCCAATACTTAAAAAAACCCTCGCCATTATATGCATTTCGGGTTTAGAAAAAACTTTCATTACTAATTTATTTGATATCGGCTAAAACACTTGAACTTATCGCCACAGAAAAATATTATTTTATCAGTTTTAACCTTAGTCGATCCAAGGTTCAAGAAAAATGTTTTGACGGATGAAGAAGCTTTTCAGTGGGGAGATCTAACCAGTTAGCGACAAGTTTCGGATCGATATCGTACTTGTTGGTGTAACAATATTTCATATCATAGGTCAACAAACCCGATACCGATTCGAAAATTGTCGCTAACTGGTTATAGAATCTGCCCCTAGGCCTCCAAAAATGATATCGTCCGATTCAGCTGGAACAAAAATGCTTCAAACAAGTGAGAGTTTCTCTGCGTTATGGCCTGGAACCGACATATATACATCTTTCATTTTAATCAGTATTAAAAGCTCTATTGGCTCTATTGGCGAGTCTCCCCTGAACCGCTTTTTTCCATATCTTTGGCCTGTGTGCGCTTTTATTTGAAATCTAAATGTTTTGGTACCGAGTATCGAGAGTATTGGATACATTTTAAATCGTTACCGAATATCGATCAATACTTGAAAGTATTGACTGAGCACATCACTACTGCTGTCTTCTCTGCTATGACGTCACCAAAACAGCTGATTCTGTCAAAATCACTGAGAGCCGAGTAGCGGTATCGTCATCGGCGCCACCTCTGTATTCTCTCCACCGTG